AAAAAAAAAAAAAAGAAGTCGATTGGAAGTTGGAACAAAGAGATTGGTAGGAGTTTGATGGTAGTTGGGTTGAATGGGTCTCGACTTCTAAATCCACGAGTCTGTAACATTCTAGGACCATTGACCTCCATTAATGCCATCTACGACTCTTGAACTAGAAATCCTTCTAGCAACAAGATCTTTCAGCTCTATCTCCCCTGGGAATCTATTCTCCTTTAGTTTAGAAAATACCTGCTCCACACAACAACAGCCGAACAGTTTCACAGAGTAATTATTCGAAGAACAATAGTATTATTTGCCCACTCAACTGAATGGATAACTGCACAAGCAAAACTATGCATTAGCATTATATGGCCATTTAGCCAAAGAACCACCGAGCAAGACCCACCAATAATACCTCAATAGTCCAGAATTTTGGAATAACATGAATCTTGCTTCGACTCAAGTTTTCACACACACTTAAAAACAATCATGATGCATGGAATCACTATAAAACATATGCATGCAAGNNAAAAAAAAAAAAAAAAAAAAAAAATGAAAAAGAACTACGCAATCAATCAACAAGGGCTTTCACTCAAACATCGAAGAAAGAAACTCCCGTTAATTATATTGTAACACCAACTACTGTTGAAAGAGAGAGAATCAGAATCATTACCAATTCCCCATTGCAGTACACTTCAAAAGCACCCGAGCTCTGCAGGAAGGACTGAAGAAAGTTTCCGAGCAGCCAAGTGCTTGCCATACTCCCAAATCTATTTGCTCGCATGGAATAATACCACTGTGGGGGTGCAGCAAATCCCAATCTCGGGAAAATTTGTTCGCCGCCAATTATTATACCGATCACACCAAACTGGACAATCGGCACCAGTTTGCTCAACACGCGCTTAGGGAAAGGAGGAGGGTAATTTGCAAGGACCACATTGATGCCCGGAAATTGACTTTCTAACATGTTCTTCATCGTGACTGCGGTTCCTCTGTTAAAAGGGAATAAAAAAAAAGACCACTAAAGATAACCTGGAAGCAATGTGTATTTTTATGCTCCTTATTTTTCGTTAAATATTTTTACTTGCACTATCCTCAATCACTGCAAAATAATAGACACTACTAATTGAAGCATTCCAATGCATATTAATACTTCTCAAACACATTTACTCCTTCGGGAGATCCTCTTTGGTGTGCCCAATCTATATTCCTCAGGCACGAGAAATATCATGCTGTCATGTTGTGTTTGTGTTAACTATTTTACTCGATCAAAGATATGATACTAAATCTAAATTTAACTATTTTTTTTTTTTATTTTAATTTTGTGTTTTTTCGTGCCGTGAACATGTTCTGTTGTGCAGATTGCGCCATTTGTCTCTACTCTCTACAGTCATGTTTTCTAATCGTGTCAGTGCCAGCCATTTTCACCCCTAATTACAATGAGTGAGCTCCATCCAACGGATTCTCTTGATCTACGGAAGTGAATTTGATTCATCTTGATAAACTAACGGTTAAAGATAATATATATATTGTCCATAAGTAACAAATTGAAAATCACACAGAAATTAAAGCAAAATCAAAGTATCCAAACAGCAGAATTGATCAAAATAGAAAAAGGAAGAAGGAACTTAAATGACCTGTAAGAACAGGAAGAACAGAAGCCGATGCTAATCGAGTTTCCCAAACCGATCCCGCTAGCTTTCTGCTCAACATCAAGCATAAACAAAAACGATAACACTATTATGCATACCTGAATGCTCCAAATGGATCTATAAATTAGGCTGCAAATTCAAAGTATTTTTCAGAGTTCATTATGAAAAAAAAGATATAAATTAACACATAAAAAGCCAGTCTCTCTAACATGCCAACTCAGTGTTTATCGAAATCGACTAATTTTGAAGTAATTCAATCTAATTCAACAATGCCTGGAAGTCAATAAGATACCTTCCTTCTAAATACTGAAAAAATTAGGGCAAACCTGAGTCGGGA